AATACCTTTAACTCTTGCATGGGCTCTTACTATACACAAAAGTCAGGGGATGACGTTAAAAAAAGCTTGGGTTGATATTGGTCCGAAAGAGTCTGCACTTGGAATATCGTATGTAGCTATAAGTAGGGTTCGTAATATATCCTCATTAGTTATTGAACCTACCAGCTTTAAAAGACTTAGTGCTATTAAGGATTCACAAACACTAAAATTTAGGGTAATGGAAGAAAAGCGCCTGAATGAAATTGCTAAGAAAACGATAAGTGCGCATGTGTGATAAAATAAGATTATAATTGTCTTCTTTATGGCGTGAATAGGGCCATAACGTTCCAGTTTTTAAATTGGATTGTGACAATGGGTTTTGAAGTTCACAAACTATCATAGTTATTACTAACTAATTTGTCACATCTTCAAGTCTTGCTTTCAGTGATGCCTGCTTTTTTCTCTCTGTTTTATGATCAACCTAACGCGTACACGTTATTTCTATTTTAGAATTATGGAATGCTCTCAAAATAAAGGTAAGCATATACATGATGTTTACTAGAATACTCAATAAGCTACAGTGTAATTGTTCAGTGAAAGGTTACTATATTCTGCATATTTTTCAGGGGATCATGAGGGTGACAATCTTATGAACGATTTTAACTTGGACGAAAGTAAGATCAACATTTTGCATATCACTTTAAGCATAATGACATTTTCTTAAGTACTTGTAAACCTCTTTAGAATACCTTCTTGAAACTGATAAAGAAATGAAGGATGTCATATCTTTGGCCGAAAATCAAGGTATGACCAATATTTTCGCGCAACATTTGTAGCACCGTTAAAAGGCTTAAAGCCCGTATTCTAAACTGAGTTCACTTATACTTATTGACTGGAGTTCAGTTTAATCTGAGCGTTTCTTGAGTTTCAGTGTATCATTACTCTTTTTGGATAGCGGCAAAGCTTTACATGCATGCTGTTCAAATTGAATTAGTTAAGTTTGTGCGTACACCATGTATTTAATATTCATTTATGTACTCAAGTAAATCTAGATACCGTTAATATGTATTAAACTGTAAAAATTCATGCGAATCTTCATCGTTTTTAGATAAAACAAAAAACGAATCCAACAAATCCAACCAGAAGCCAGTTGTTCACCTTGATGGAGGTACTAAGTGCATTCTTGTAACAGAAATAAGTTAAGATAATTGTTACGCTACCTATAAAAGCTATAAGAAATATGTGAAAGACTAATGAATTTTCACAACAACCTCACAATTTGAATTCAATGACCAAAATTGCGATATGCACTGCAACCGTGGTTTGCTCAAAACAAAAATTTTCACTGTCACTCGCATTGTATTATTTAGTGCTAAACGTTACTTGTGTTTTCATTTCAGATACTCCAATTTTGGCTTATATACACAACTTAAGCCCGTTAAAAAGCAGTCAGCGTAATAATTTATACTTTGATTTAACGCTACAAACAAGCCAAGGATCTTACCGAACAGTATGTTTCTCGCCTGAGAAGCACTCAAAATGCAAATCAAAGTCCGAGTCGTCTTCGCCACTAAAGTTATCAAAATATCAAGTGAAAAGAAACACTTTCACGAATGAAGACGAAATATTCATTAATAAAAGAACAAAGTTGGATGAACCACGTGAAGATGAAATTAACTTCGACATACAGTTTCCGTCGAAATCGAGTGAAAGTGCAACTGGTCTTGCTGCTGTGAATGTTAAAGACGTCCAAGCCACCACCAACCTCACGTTAGTTACTCTCACTGGTAGAGTAACTTTTCAGGGTTTTGAAGAAACCATTCTCAAGAACGGAAAGACCCTGCGGAAGCAAGAAGCGGTTTTTACCGATAATACTGCGTCAATTAGACTCGTCTTGTGGGAGCAAGATATTAATAAAGTTGAGTCTGGTTCTTTTTACAAACTCTCGAACACTGTCGTTAGGGAGTATGAAAATGAAAAGTATTTAACTCTGAACAAGAAATCCAAAATCGAGAGCACAGTCGCAAAAATTGAAAGACAAGACGACGTCACTGGGCACAGATCCTTAAAGTCGGTTGAATGTCCGGCGGAAGGTGTTGTATCCCTCAAGAGGTTTTTGTCCTGCAAAAAATGCCACGTGAAGGTTGCTGCGTTAGCGAATAAACCAATTATTAAATGCAGCGAATGCGGTTTAACACAATTAAAGAAGAAATGCAAGGAAAGATTCCTCGCGAATGTGCTATTTCAGGATGGCACATCCACGACCACCCTGTTGCTGTTTGACGACAAGCTACAGCAACTATTCAACATATACAAAGAACAAAACACTTGCGATTCCGAGTTTGAGGGAATTGACGACGATTTCCTCATGGAAATTCTGTTAACTGTTGAGGCGAAAGTACTTTTTAACAACAAAAGAAATGTTGTCTCCATAGAGAAGCTTTCTACTTAGAACATATATACAGCATGCTTATATAAACTATGCTCTTTGACGGTCAACATTAGATTGTGCATGACTTTGTAGCCGAAAAACACTCAGCCATTCTTACCACTGTAAATTGCATGTACTGTTCGTTATCTTGTTCTGTTATCTTCGTTCTGACATTTTAAAACCACAGAAACGTCTTTAGTGTAATATTTTTTTCTATGAAAGAATGTTCTCCAATGTCTTACTATTTAACCATATATAATATATTTACGAGAAACACTAAATATAACTGTATTGTTGTTTTTCAAGATTATGCGGCAAACTGTAAACGTACCTTTACCCCTTAGTTTGGTATTAGGCAGATTTAGACAGACCTTACGGTCGTCAAATGTCAACTTAAAAATGACGTTCTATCTCCATGCAAGGATACGTCTTTGGCGTCTATATAAATCTGCTTAACATAATGATAAGTACAATTTTTTGTCTTATTTCTGTGACAACTGTGTTTTGCCATTGAAGGCAGCATTACTACCCTTTGGGTAACCTAGTCTTATAATTTACGCCTAGTCTTCCTAAAATAGTGTGAGGTCCAAGCTGTTTGGGACAGAATTTCCACTCCTTTGGCCGCCTAAGCCATACATGCTCAAGCCATACAAAATCTAGTTTCCTGCTGACCCAGCAAGTCCGACGAAGCGAGGAGTCCTCGGAAGGATCGCGAAAGTTTATGATCCTCTCGGGTTGATTTCGCCCATTATTCTGCAAGGAAAGTTCCTCTACCGCGAGTATTGTGACGCCAAGGTCCCCTGGGATGCCAAACTGCTTCGTGAGTTAGAAGCTAGATGGACGGCGTGGGAGAAAAGCCTACAGAGAACGTGACCGCACCAATTAAGGAGTCTAGCTAAGTTCCAGTAGCCAATTGAAGATACAGGTCATTAGATCAAGATCATTAGATCTGGTCGCACACGAAAGACAGTATAGAACTTAGTGCTTTAGATTTTAACATATATTTCGAACAGTTGCATTAAAATTAGAATTCAATCAAGTTAACATTTATTGGGACGGTGAACACTGAACGAGGCACAACTTTTTTTATTCTAATACTTTTTATATTATAATAGGGGGGGGGTGTTGGAAATCATGCGGAAATAGAATGATTATTATAATGCATGCAAACGTCATGGGTATAAATTAATACTGCATGGGAATCAATAGTAAGTAAGAAAATTGAATAATTAAGGACAGATTGGAAGTGAGGGTTAAACATAGCCTCTAAAGGCATTCCCAACACAGCCTCCTACTGCCATGAATGATCGGTCTTGCTAAAAACAAATATTATAGGTAAATAAAAATATCTACAATCCCTCGCGAACATCTTCGTCTTATATATTATAATTTCTTATCTTCGCTTTTACCTGGGAGAGTGTCCATTTCCCAGCTGCCTTGACAGACAGCGCAGCCTTGGAACACTCTGGCTTGAGATGCACGTGACTAGGCTGACCTTTGACTGTGAAACTCTCCGTAGTTGAGGAACTTTCCCGAAGCTGAGACTTGCTGACTTCGTCCCCGCGATGGGTTAATCCAGGACTGTCCTCGCCTAGTAGTTTCCAGACATCTTGTAACGACGCGCGGTCGTCTGATGAGAACGAAGGTTGCCATGGCGAGACGATTTCGTCACGAACAGTAGACGATTCCGGTAGGCCTGCTTTTTCTGCGAGTTCCGTGTTTGAAGAGTGTTTTTGAAGTTTTTGGGCCGACGCGGAATTCTTTTTCCGAGGAGATAGCGAATGCTGATCATTATTCCTCGCTAGTTTTCTCTGTGCATACTGCAGTTCTTTGCTTGTTAGTTCATATTGCAACTGTTCCAAACCCCGTAGTTGGGATCGGGATGTTTGCGCCACATTCTGCGGATCTTTGGACGATTGACGTGCCTCAATTGAAGGCGATTTTTTCCCTCCTAATATATAACGATAGAATAACATTCTAAAATCAAAACGGTGGCAGCGGTACACTAAATATAATCGATTTTACCACGAGATTACTTATTTCAGCATCTCTCATTATACCAAAGCCGCCACGCTGCAGAGAAACAAGAAATTTTCGTGTTCTCAATAATTGTAGTTTTTCTCAACTTCTATTATATAGGTTTAAACTTTTGTTCTTAACAATTTATCAAAAATGGTTTAAAGACGCTCTGCAAAACAATTTTATTTCATATTTCAATGCAAGGACGAATTAAACGAATGTTTAGTCCACCCGTTTTCGGTACATTTTCAAGTACAAGTTTAACTTATATCTTATCAATTAATATAACTTGCATGTTTTCTTTCAAAAGTTCCAATTGAAGTTTTTCGCCATATGCTTATAACCGACCGGCGTTTGCCCAGACGTTATTCCGCGGTGTTCTGGAGCCCGGTCACGTGTCACTACCCTACATGCGGTAGTGACGTAATCATCGCGGGATTTCTTTGCACATGCAGTTAGTCTTTTGCGAACAACAGAAGCTACGCATCATGATTATAGGAAAAATGTATTCAATTCATTCTTACAGTAATTTATTTCGACTAACGTATATATATTAATGCCATCTTAATAGATATTCCAAAATATCCCTTCAAATACCTTTATATTTCAACAATTCAGCTCTCAGCTTATTTCCCATTTTAATCAACTGTTCGCGTTCTTTTGTTACTCCATTTTTCCTTTGAGCAGCTTGACGTAGTTTGGTGTGTAATCCTTTAGATGACGATACTACTCCCTTCATACCAGGGACTTCTGAAAAAAAAGGAAAACGTTTAAAATTCAAATCCTGACTAAATCATTCAGAATTTTATGAAGTGAATTTAGGGTTTGTTATGTGTTGATGAGAAATGTTGATGAGAGGTTTTCCAGCCGCAATCAATTTACTGTTTTGGAAAAGGTCGTAACTTACAAATTGTGAACGGGTTTGAATGAAATATAACTCCATAGACAGGCGTCATAGCTATATCACGCTATTTTAAGTGGATCAGAACAACAAGGGATATGCATTCTATATATGGTCTAACAACTGACAGTGGTTGGGTTACATCACAATCTATACGTTTGAATTAATTCAGTAGATTTAGAATGTTCTACGGCAGTCGTGATTTTTAAGATTCTAAACACAAATAAAGATAGTATTTCAAAAGCGTCAGACAGTACACTCACCTTTCTCTCGAAGGTCTTGTATAAACTGACTTTCTGGATTGTACGTATTCAAAGGTTTTCCGTGACTGGCAAGATCCAATTTTAATGCTGACAACTGCAGAAAATCATCTCCTGCCTGTCACACAATTCTTGACTAGATGTTGCTAATATTTCTACCTCGGGTAGTTTATCTGCGACAAACATTAACCCATACTTTCATAAACGATCTCTGCAGAAACTCAAATTTCTTTCTATAAACACCGAATACAAAAATTTCGGACATTACGCTCTCAAAACAGATAAATATCAAACGATTATCAGTAATTCTTCCGTATCCACACTATCGCCTGTAGGCTGTGTTACACTCACACTCATTGAGTGTGACATACAAATTTTGTCATCAACGATCACAGAGAAAGTTATTTCTTAATCGATACAAAGATGTAACGAAAAACACTGAAAATTAAGCTCTTATTCGAGTGGAAATACCGCCATGGAAATGTTATGACTCCCATTCAACAAGTTCGAGTGCGCGTTTAAAATACAATAGTTCCTCGCTAACTCGAACTCCCTAAGGAAAAGGAAAATTGTTCGAGTTACCGGGGGTTCGAGTTAACCGGAGTTGGTGTCATATTATGTTTATTATACACTGATTAACTTTTTATTATTTCGATAGTTTCCGGTCCAGCATATGGCTGTCACAAGTGATATCTTAGGTTCAGCATTATAGCTGCTCGCTTTGTTGCTCAGTGAATCACCCAGGATGTTACTGACATTCCTGCCCTCCGGCTGATAACTAATCAAATCCTCTCTTAACTGCTTGCGGTTTTAAAAGCACATATAAATTTCGTTCGATCTTGCATTAACCAACAACACGGTAATGTACAATTGAAAGTGGGTTCACCGTTAAGCTTCAGACTGTGATACATTTACACGTTTAATTTGTTTTAATGTTATATACCTAAAGAATGTCTTTATTATATCCATTTTGCATCTGCGATCTAGTTATTTAACAATATCATTGAACTAACCTGGTTTCCTAATGATACAGCATCAATATTTCTCTCCAAACCCGTTTTGTAAAATTCGTCAGCCTGGCGTCTTTTTTGGGTTACCTGCAGCTTGAGACCAGAGTTCTGCTGCTTCAAAGCATTCATTTCTTCGTTGGCCTGACGATTCCCTGTTGTCAACTGATAGTGAAGTTGATATGTTTAGTTGCTTCTGACGAACCTGAAAAAAGAAAGTGCGTTGATCATCAATGCTCGACACAGGTTTCTAAAATCCAGGAATGTAGCACTCGAAAACCAGCCCCATTTACACTATAGACTAAATTTATCGGCACGACATATGTTAATAAATACACACAATAAAAATGCGAGAACATACATCACAAACATTCTCAGCGATGACGGATAAAAATACAAGTGCATTAAAACAGAAGTCTATAGCCATTTAGAGAAGAAGACTCACCTCTTCTGAAGAATGATGAAGTAAACATTGAAGATGAACGATAATTGCTTTACATTTTCCCAATTGAGGTAAGTTTAATTTCTCGGCGTAAACAGGGCGCCTATAAGATAGGGCGGCGAAACGCACGGATGGCGTGTTGAAACATGTGTGATGTGCGGACCCCCCATAAAGATTCGAAAAACTGTTTTCAAAATGGCGGCGGGTTACTTAGAAGACGAAGAACTTGAGATGATTATTAGTTTGGATGACACTGATCTGGAAACAGATGACACAAATTCGTCATTTCCAGTTGGAAATACTGTTAATTTCAATGTAAATAAGATAATTGCTGTTCTTGAAAGGGTTTCTTCGTGTTTTTTATACTCGTCCAAGTCCGCTGGTTACCAAGACAAGTTTGTAAACATGGTTCCGTTTTATGGTTGTCGTTTTCCAGAGAAAATTGTGAAAAAGGTTCAAAACATTATGCGACTATTTGCACGTGGAATCGATGTTAATGAACAAGAGAGTTATTTTCTAAATTTCCCAGCTTTAGGCCGACCGCCCCGTCCCAGTCCTAAAATCGCATCACACATGTTTCAACACGCCATCCGTGCGTTTCGCCGCCCTATCTTATAGACGCCCTGGCGTAAACTACCTAAAGACGTGCAAGAATATATATTGTGAAATAGGCAATTATATTATATACCTTATCTGAAATTCTAGTCGGTTAATACAGAATGCCTTTCGTGCGATTCCCACAATTTAAGTTACCATGGTCAATAGTACAATGCGATTGGAATATCAGCTCTTACAAAAATCTTAATCCTTGATACTCCAGTTGTGTCTTGCAAAAAAATACAGGCATTTTTTTCAAATTTTCACTCGGGTAAATTCTCAGGGCTAATCAACATGCTATAGTGTTTTTTTAATGACCCACAAAATTACGTAACTTGAAAGTCAAATATTTGACTTAACGGAAATATTTGCAGTAAAGATAGTGAACAGTTATGTAACTCGGTGTAATAAATCAGCATATCGAGGCAATGTATGTAGGGGTTGTTTTTTATACTACCCGCGTGCGGAGCGAAAATCCGCAGAAATTATTCAGGACATTGTAGGTTAAAATTTGACATTAGACACAGAAAACTAATTCAACGTTCAACTATAACTATTCAGATAACACAATGAAAACTGCTGGGTATGCGGGGGATGAGGTAATGTTTCAATTTAATGATGCTATGTTTAAGCTTTGTAACTTCTTGAACTGCTGTTGTATGGTTGAACTTTGTTATCTACCACTTACCGATTGTGCTGTTCAGCTGTGCCACCAGACCTCTTACATGAACATTATCCTTACTTCAATCTAAAACGTAAGTTGGCTCAGTATTTTCAGTTTTAGCATTTGTATTAGCCATGGATTGGGTCAGTTCGCGGTTTCTCGCCTTCACTTCTCAAATTTCTTTTTCAGACTTGTCACATATTCTGAAATGTTTAGTAAAGAAATACCAGATTAATTCCATTCACACTGATCTTTGTTACGATCACTATAACGATTAGTCATTCTAAAAAATGTCTTTCAAAATACAGAAGCTATATATGTACAGTAGAACGGGGATTGCCTAATAAGCCCCGGGGGTCAAACCCAGGCTACAGTAGAGTAACCTATATTAAACATAAGGTTTTAAGAAAAAATTAAATTCATCCATGCATAGAAAACAATCTGGCTTTATATTTTCGAAATTGTTTTGTTATGAAATATTTTCCCGCTTTATTATCATTTAATTACCTTCCGTAATGGGTACGCCATCTCTTGCATTAGTAATCGATCCAGTGGTACGTTGCGTCAACTGTTTCGTCAAATCCTCCATGTCCTCTCTCATTTGATGAATAACAGACGCAAATTTTCGTTCTGAACTGGAAGTTCTTTATTATTCATATTCGCTGCTGGTGTGCCAACATCTTCGACTGGTGAAACATGCATGACTGATAAAATCTAGAGAAATGATAAAATCTTGCGAAGCAATGGGAGAGGTATCGATGTTTAAGAATTAAAAAACGAGTCGCGTGCCTTTATGGTGTAATAATGCACGATGGGGGAATGTTGGGAGAATACGAGAGAAGCTTGTAAAACACGAGGCGTAGCCGAGTGTTTTACAAGCTTCTCGAGTGTTTTACAAGCTTCCCGAGTGTTTTACAAGCTTCTCAAATCCTCCATGTCCTCTCTCATTTGATGAATAACAGACGCAAATTTTCGTTCTGAACTGGAAGTTCTTTATTATTCATATTCGCTGCTGGTGTGCCAACATCTTCGACTGGTGAAACATGCATGACTGATAAAATCTAGAGAAATGATAAAATCTTGCGAAGCAATGGGAGAGGTATCGATGTTTAAGAATTAAAAAACGAGTCGCGTGCCTTTATGGTGTAATAATGCACGATGGGGGAATGTTGGGAGAATACGAGAGAAGCTTGTAAAACACGAGGCGTAGCCGAGTGTTTTACAAGCTTCTCGAGTATTTTTCAACATTTCCCCGAGTGCATTATTACACCATAAAGGCACGCGACAAGCTTTTTTAATTCTTTTATAATATAAGAAGAATTATAGGGCAACAACAAAATTTATTTATTTGATCAATAATGAAATTCTTCTTACATGTTATTAAAGATGTTGCTTAGCAACAAAAACTTCAAAAGCCAGAAGCGTGCATTATGGCCCAGTGAACTCTAATAAGACTGGAACGATAACTCAACAATAAAGACTAGTCATTGGATGAAGCCGATTTGAATATAATTTGCTGATTAAGGCGGCAGCCGAGCGAGCAAATCAAGCCTTCAAAAGAACTGGGGAGAGTGAAAATTCCGTAAAAATCGTATTTTTTGGCAAAAAAATTGCGAGAAAAGTGCAATTTTTATTTGACCACTTCAACTTTAAACAACGAATTTACCCTTTTTGGATAGACCTAAGTAATCCGCATCATCTTACTGTAAAAACCGGCGAGGTACCAGCTTTGTACTTAAAATAAAAGAATTTGAACGGGCCGAAAAAAAACTTCGCCTTCAACTCGCAAAAAAAATAGGTTTGCACCTTTCACGTTCATAAAACTTGTTTTTTAGTAAAATCTAAGTGTCAATGCTTGTTTTAAGCTTTTATTCATGATCAGATGAGAAGGATTTGTGTATAAAAACCGGCGTTGTTTTGGTGGTGTAATTTCAACTCTTGGCCTTCATGGCGGCCATCAGTGCTGGCTTCAAAGATGGCGGCCAAGTTATCGTTCCAGTCTTTTTAGAGTTCACTGTTATGGCCTCACAATGCACGCGCGGTAGCCAATCAAATTGCTCGTTATATCATACTTATATTATAAAAAGGTTTCAGATTCGCGAGCGCAGGGTAGGTCCTCAATTACATCAGTACAAACTGAAAATAATTTTGGAATGTGTCAAGTGTTTCGGCAATGAAGAAAAATCGCGTTATTACTCCGGCGTCAGCGACGGAGTTGAAAATTCGCCTCGGTTTTGTTTTGTTTTTGTTTCTTTTTTTTTTTTTTTTCGTCGTGGCAAGTCTGAAATGGTGCGAAATATACTAGTGTTTAAAATGTGTATGTGATTGCATTTATCTATGTCCCAGTCTTGTCTCCCAAGAGTTGTGGTGCACAGCTTTGGCTAATTTTCCGATGCGCGATTCGATTTCGCTCGCATGATACAGCAATTCCTCCAAGAGGAACAAATAAACCGTTCTTTTCATGCTTTTCGATTAAGTTTAGATTGAATTGGGGTAAGAATATATTTAATACATGTAGATTCTGGTCCTATTTTAGTAATATCGCTGCTATTTCGCCGTTTAACAAGATGATGTGGTCGTGTATGGGCGCTTTGACTCGTCATAGTTTGCACAGGATTGAAGATTTAATTAATATAACTATACAAGCGCGAATTCCAAAGGCAAAGTGTTAAGTGTAAGACAAAGCGAATGTATCATGCCGTTTATTTACATTTTTGAACAATTGAACTTCTATACTTTTTAAAGTACGATGTGCTTCTGAATTTTGCGATCGAACAACATTTAGGTTCGCAAGGCATTTAAATGAATATGATTTATATGAACTGTATTGTTTATGTTCAGAAGCTTTATATTGAAGACTGGCACGTGCACGGCACGCCGGAGTTAACGCCAGAACAGGCGTCTTGTTTCAGTGAAAATTACATGCGCGTTAAACTTCGAGTAATATAATCAGTAAGGTTTCGAAAATACTAAGATATTTTCGTTTGATATTTCCGTCCGCATCTAAAGTTTATACATCTTGCGACAGTTACCTCGTTAAGCACATCAATTGGCTTTTAAGTATAGCCACTACGAGAGGAGCATGATTCGACTTGCAATCTATTTTCAACAACTTTATTACGGCGAATAACGGAGACTGAATTTGGAATCGATGAGTTTCCTGTTACCACTGCATACAATCATTAGTTGAATTACGAATTTACATAAAGAGACTCTATATACATAGTTGTGGTATAGAAGAACAATCTCAAAAGATGTCTCATTTGGCACCAATGTTTTAAATCATTTTTAAAATTTCTCGAGGATTTTACACCCCGTCACACCTTGTACAAAATTTTGTTCAATTTACATCATTTCCTCTATTTGTGTTAATCTGCCCAGCTGGAAGAGCTAGGGCCCCATATACGCCGTATAAAAACCGAACGCTAAGCGTTTACAATCTACCTACAATCAAGGTGTAAAACTCACCTGATATTTGGGAAGGCACGGTTAGTCCATGAAGCTTGAGGATAGAAACTGATTCATCTCTTTGTGTCTTCAAAATATGGATAACACTATCCTTGTGAAGCAGTTCACGTTTCTGTTGTTACACCAACGATAACGCCTGATGTGAAAAAATACAGAAGAGTTCTATCAACCTTAATGTTGACGTTGAAGTCCCTGATGATCAGTTTAGTAACATTATATCACTTCATATGGACCTTGTAGGGCTGAAACTTTAACGGGATTCCAAATTGAAAAAGGGTAGGGTAGAGGCAATGGAAAGGGGTGTAAAATTTTATTTTTTACATATTCATATATATATTCACCTCTTCTTTGCCTTGTGTTAAATTCTTAACTAGTTCTCCTTGTTTATCATATGTACCCAGTTCTTTCTTCCTATTCATATCTGCGCTGCCAATCTAACTCTAGCTCAGCCCTAGAACGTTCCAACGACGACTCTCTTTCCAAAGATAAAGACAACTCTTTCTGCCTCCTAAAGAAAAAAGTTGGATCAAGACCTGAATTTACATCTTTAATAGAAATCTTCAATACGATACACGACTAGTAATATCAACACAAAATAGGATTCGTAAATTGCGGGTATGTTTTTTTTAAGATTTTCGATCAAACTTTTTCACTTTTTCTTTACCTTAAAAAATCGTTTGTTATCAATCCTTATTTATACTGTAGTACAATATTAATGAACACATATTTGCACTTCAGCTCAGCGAAGGAGGTGTTTTAGACGGATGGATTGAATGGCTTCAAATAATGGCCAGGTTTATCTGACCAGATATGTTTAAGCCCCATGAAAAATCACCTCATACGGTGAGCCTGCAATTATTGAGGAACGTTTTACGATAGGTCGGAATTTAAAGACAATCGAGAAAACAAAGTTATATTCAACGTTTATTCGAACCTCTCAAAATTATTTTTTCTCCGCGCGAGTTCAGATCTCATATTGGCATCCTGTTGATGCAACGTTTCCAGTTCAACATCCTTTGCTACAGTTAATCTGGAATATTCCTGGTTCTGTTAGTCCATCTTGCTCTTTAAGTTTGCGATTGATTGATTTAGCCTGTGTAATAAAAAAAAATCACTTGTCACCTGTAAAAAGTCGTTCCTCTCGAATTGTTAAAAAGTTGTCGAATTTCAACATCAACTTGTTCAAAAGCACTATTCTTGAACGGATGAATTCATGAAAGTCATAATAAGGCCTTCCTACAGCCCAGTATTATAGGTTAAATATGGTTTCTCGGTTCAAAAGCGGATATATTCTGAGTTTTGAAATAGACATGCCCTGTGGCAGAACTTAGGTTTGTGAAAATAAACTAGAACAGCTCACATTTGGATACTGGACATATTGAGAATTAAAAATATTTTCAAAAAAAGCTACTCGTAGACACTAGACACGAGTAATGAACCTTTGGAGGTTCACAATCAAAATAAATAATGCATTTCGACTTACGCCAGATCCACCAATGAACATATATTGGTACAGAAATCAGAAATTATGCAGAATGTGAATGATTTAGGTAAGAACCCATTTCAATATACATGGTCTTGTCCCCCGTCCCTCCCCCCCTGAGGAATTTCATAAAGCTTACGTCTGTATTGTGACATCATTTTCCTACAGTTTGTCCACAAGTCTCCATTCCCTTTGACGATGTTCCTGTTCTTTAGCTTCGAGTTGGTTTTGTAATTTGCGAATATTCTGTTGAAGTTGTCTTTCTTCCTCAGTGAAACCCTGGAATGAACAATCAGAGGTTTAAATAATGTTAAAGCATCATTGGGATGATCGATATATAGCTAATATACCAGGAGTGTATATACGGCTGTACATATTGTATTGTACAACCATAGGAAGCCCAGACAAATGAGTTGAAGTTAATAAAACTCCGTAAAACACTTGAGATATGTGTTAAAATTAATCAAAGTATGTTATATGCTACAAAACTACTGTTAGAACCATGTATGTAGCGTGCTCCAGTGGCGCTGCCATTTGACTATGCAACTAGTGACGTAACTTACTATATTATTGGGAAGGATGGAAACTCTCGCCTCATTTTTTAACATGTTGACGAATTAAAACACAAATTACTATAGTAAAACGGCACGTCGACTGCTAAATGCCTACCGTAGTTTTAAGTTGAATAATCAAACTATACTTTCATAATAAAAATAATGCTGAATGCAAAAGAAAGCGCTGGAAAAACGTACACAAACTTTGTAAATTTGCCGAAATTTACGTGAATTCATGCGGGATGTAAGTACCTACCCAAAATGGCGGCGGCAAAAGAATCTGATTGGTCGATCATTCTTTGCTTACCTTTCTCGACCAATCAGATTGGTTTA